TATCATATATATGAAAGTGAATGGACATTTTTGTATCAACTAGTTTTTCGGTAAGATTGAACCTTTCAACATCTTCACTGCCACTGTGTTTGAACAGGCTTTCTTGTCATGCCCAAAGACTGAAGCTTCGATCACTTTCCCAAAAGCTCCATGCCCAAGCACCTTCCCTGCATGAACAAAGAATAAATACATAGCATGCAAGATTAGAATGCGTCACTGATTATCACATGTTGCTCATGCTGAGAGACTGAGAACAACACAAAGAACAAAGACTCTGCTGCTAATGGAAATTGCATGTTCACATTTAGCTTCACTCTTCAGAACCAACAGACATTACAAATTATAATACAAATATTAGTGTCTTAAATTCTTCACTTTCAAACAGTCAAATCCTTGAGCTTTTATTTTGGTAAAATGCCCACAAAAATGTCCACAAAAAAAGGGAACCTAGCACACTTTACATTCCCGAATCCATGTTAAACTCACAGCGCTTGCAGATATGGAGTTTTGTGAGAAGCAGCATTTACTGTGAACTGAGCCACTTTGAAATTGTTAACATCAGCTGTACACATGTAAATGAGCACAGTGACACAGACTATATATACTTCTTTACTTAAACAACAGCCTGATTTGATAAGATATATCACTGTTTCAGTTTTATTTTGAATACCGGAGCAGGCCCCGTTCTATATTTTAATGTTACATTTGTTTTAAAAAAAAAATACAAAACCTCACGAACCACCCTTTATCACATCATATAAAGATTCCTGAGTACAGTCAAGCCCAATGCTGAAAATGTCTAGACCATAAATATGCTTTACTTCTGGGATCCAAGCCATGAATGTTCTTCATATGGACCAATTTAAAGCCTGTATCAGAGTTTTTAAAATGCACTCTCTGTGAACGTACCGAGGAGCAGTCTGTCTCGGGATATCTCCCACTGGCTGGAGTCGTAGAGCAGGTATTCACACTGCTCCTCAAGCGGCACTTCCCCCGGGTCCATGATGATTGACAGATAGCCTGTCTTGATATCTGCTGGGTTCACCTGCAGGACAACATCATAACAATTACTGATGGATGATACCGCAGCCTATAAGAAGACAGAAACAGCGAGCCTGAGGCGGCTGCGCTCCACATCAGCTCGTAGAATTGCTGACTCCACTACTCATGTTCAGCGCTGAAGTGCTGATATGGTTTGCTCTTATGTTGTACTGAAGGCAAGGCATTGATGTAAGTGCATCTTATTTCTGAAAAGCCTCGCTGGCATCATGGGCAGATTTAAATAATGTTTCTTGTGTAACTATGTTCATTAATAGAGATGTATTGAAGTGTTATGATTGCATGTAAAATGAAGCACATTGTACTGACTCGCTTGACGTTGCAGAAGATAACAAGGAGAAGGACCCAGAAAAAGATGGCGATGACTCCCGTTCCGATGAGAATCACTATTTCTACATTGGTCTTGTCATCAGAGCCTGGCAGACAATACAAGTTATTGTATTAAAGCTTATGATTATAACTGAATATGAAAGTTCACATCTTCTAAACTGATTTAATTTTAATACACGTAGATTCTAGAAGTTTGTTTGGCAAAAATGACAAATATGATTTTTTTTTGACAATTTGTTTTTTCTCAAATTATTATATTATATGCAAATACTAATATTACATATTAGCTGTCATATAACACATTTATTGATGTATACAATGGTAAAGGCAAGATGAATGAAGGTTAGAAAGGGGCTATGTCTGTTAGGGTAAGGGTTTGGGGTCCTCACAGCAAACACATCTTCATAAAGGGACGAAATAAGTTTAATTAAAAATCTCAAATTTTAGTTTTAGTTAGGGTAGAGTAAGGGTGTTGTAATTAAAATTAGCTTGAGAATATTTAAGAACAGACATCAGTGTGTGAAGCCCTCACTATGGTATAAAAACAAATGTGTATGTTGTGTGCTCATCTGTGTACATAAGCTTGAATCTATTGTATATGTTCCACTACAATGTAAATTGAAGGGCAAAGCACAATCCTGAAGTAAGGAGAGTGAACTGTATACTACAGCACCACCTAATGCAAATAAGAGGCTCTCACCGATGACTGACAAAGTGGCGGAGGACTTAACGCAGCCCCTCTGGTTGCAGGCTGTGCAGGTGTACAGACCGGCGTCTTCCTCTCGCACTCGCTGAATGCTGAGAGTCCGATTGGAGTCCTGCAGGAAGATCCCTGAACACATCCACAAAACTGTCAAACACACAATCTGCCAGCCAGCCATGGCTTTAAGGCACAGCATCCTCTTTTGTTATGGCTTTCTTGCCTTGTGTTTTTCTATTTTCTGAACTTTAAGAAAAGGAATCCATAATGATATGTAGCCTGTGATATTCTTTATTTATCAATGCTTTCAGAAAATAAAAAATAATTTTATTGATGCCATAAAAAACTTAGGTGACACTTTATTTTAAGGTCCAATTCTCACTATCAACTAGTTGCTTGTTAGAACGCATATTACTAGCATATTGTCTTATTCTGCATGACCATATTTTAGATCCCTTAATCTAATAAAGAAATTTGTTCAGGGAAAACTCTTATTTAATAATGAATATGTGTTTCCTATTCTAGAGTATTACCAAAAGTTTATAATTCTTAACAAAAACGATTTTTAAGTTTAAAAATCTAAATAAATGTAAAAATCTAAAGGACCATTTTAGTACTATGAAGAACCTTTTGTATAATGGAAGGTTCCACGGATGTTTGATGTTCTTCATGGAACAATAAAGAACTTTTATTTTTAAAATTGTGGTGTAAAAAGTGCACTTGGATCTTAGTCCACCTTACCAACTTTTCTGTGCTCTGTTCTTTGACAAATGACTCAAAATCAAATACAATTTGTGAACCAAGATATCTTATGGGTTGCGTGCCACAATTTAAAGGGATAGATCACCCAAAAATGAAAATTCTGTCATTAATTACTCACCCTCGTGTCGTTCTAAACCCGTAAGACCTCCGTTCATCTTCGGAACACAAATTAAGATATTTTTGATGAATTCTGAGAGCTCTTTGACCCTCCCATAGACAGCAATGTAATTACCACGATCAAGGTCCAGAAACATAGCAAGGAGATCGGTAAAATAATCCATGTGACATCAGGGGTTCAACCATAATTTTACGAAGCTACGAGAATACGTTTTGTACGCAAAGAAAAAAAAACGACTTTATTCAACAATTCGTTAGATAGAGAGTATCCACTGAACGTAAACAGCGTATGCTGTTCTGTGTCAGCTGCGTCACGCGCATACGTTGTTTTCGTTCAAATCAAAGCGTAAACAGTGTAGAAAACATATGCGCATGACGCAGCTGACACAGAACAGCATACGCTGTTTACGTTCAGTGGATACTCTCCAAAATGGCACCAGGGTGACGTGGAGGAGACGAATTGTTGAATAAAGTCGTTTTTTTTTTTCTTTGCGTACAAAAAGTATTCTCGTAGCTTCGTAAAATTACGGTTGAACCCCTGATGTCACATGGATTATTTTACCGATCTCCTTGCTATGTTTCTGGACCTTGATCGTGGTAATTACATTGCTGTCTATGGGAGGGTCAAAGAGCTCTCAGAATTCATCAAAAATATCTTAATTTGTGTTCCGAAGTCTTACGGGTTTAGAATGACATGAGAGTGAGTAATTAATTTTTGGGTGAACTAACCCTTTAAGTCAGCCACAGCCATTATAGGCAGATTATACCATTTGGCTGGTATTGGGTGTTCATTACCCTTCTGACAAAGCAATGCATTTAAAACATAACAAATAATATATTATTATTTATATCACAATATAATCCTCATTATAATGGACCTAACTTTTCTGTCATTTTAATGTGTTCTAATAAAATCGAAGTTCAGCTCAGGTTTAATATGCGACAATAAACGGACCTTTTGTCTAGTAGTGTTTATTTATGCATTCATGTTCACTTCAAAACAGTATGTTTAAGTTCTGACAATACATTTAAAATATAGCCACAAGCAGCAATTCTCAGGGTCCAAGCACCCATGTGGAGTCAATTTTATCTTATGTTCTTCTTAAAGCAAAGTCCATCTTATATTTTCACTGATGGTTTGACGAAACAGATTGCAGTCACACACTGGTGTCAAAAGGGTCAACAGACTTCCAAAGGAAATCACTCCCTCTTACTGTTAGACTGAAAGAGAAGTATAACCCTCTGAAATTAAAGGGGTCATATGATGCGATTTCAAGTTTTTCTTTGTCTTTGGAGTGTTACAAGCTGTTTGTGCATATATATGATCCGTAAAGTTGCAAAGACTAAAGTCTCAAACCCAAAGACATATTCTTTATAAAAGTTACAACTCATCCATGCCTTCCTAAAATGCCTCATTCAAACACGCCCCCACATGTCTACGTGACTGTGTTGGAAGATTTGCATAACACCGCCCAAATGTTTATGCAAAGAAAGAAGGCATAACTTTTATTCTCGCTGTAGTATTGTTGCCGCCGCCTCGATGTCGTGGAGACACTATGTGTTTCCAAATATGGTAAGGGGCGTAACATTTCCATCACACATTTGAGGTATTCGGCCAATCACAATGCACTGGATAACTGGCCAATCAGAGCACACTGCGCTTTTCAGAATGATGAGTTTTGTAAAAATCGACGCGTTTCAGAAAGGCGGGGCAGCGAGGAGCAACAATAATGTAAGGTATGTGGAAAAGAATGTGTTTTTTGGACCTTAAACCGCGTAAACACATTGCATTACACTAAATACACAAAATAATGTTCTTTTTAGCATTGTCATATGACCCCTTTAATTTTTCCTGTCAAAAGATATGTAATCAGGTGATATGTAGTGTATTAAATTACACAATTGCGTGTCAACAAGCAGATGTTGACTGGTGCACTATGCTTGCATGTTATTTTAGCTTGCAAAAAGGATTTTAATCATACATTTGTACAAATTATAATGTAGTAATACTGTGATGAAAAAAATACTGCAGAACAAATTGTCATATTACTGAAAACAACATTAGAAAAAAACAAATAAACTGAATAGTTCTAGGACTGCAGATGTTGCAAGCTAGTTTATATAAGAATGTGCTCACGAGAATGTTGCTCATACCACAGTACTAAATAATTGTGCCTTTAAAGAAATGTTATAGTATATATTATCTTAAAAGAGACAAATAAAAGCGTTTCTTCATTTTAAATGTACAGAAAGATTGGGATATATAAGTTATAAGAACACTGAATGATCTATGAGCATTTAATAGATTTCAAGTATATAAAACTATATCACCACTGTGCCATAATTCTACAAACATACTGGTTCTAAGCATTTATTTATCACGGAAACTAATGGAAACTTGATTTGCAAAAATGATTTGGATAACTTTTTGTCATGGGTGTCTGGGGATGATGTGTGCTATCAAAGGGCTTTGAAAACTGAAATGTATGGAATCTCTTGTATGGCCTTAATCAAGGATTTATAGGAAATAGTCATTTTGATTCTTGCCCTTTTCCATTCTATGACACACTTATTGCAAATTGTAGCAGGAGAAAGCAACCCACCAACCCATAATAATCAGATACTTGCTATAGGCACAGTGCTGAAATTTTAATTATGTCTGTATTGGATCTATAAAATCTATCTAGAAAAACATCTGTGGCTTTGCTATGAACTGAATTAGCTGAGCAAAAAAAGTTGAACTCGTATTCCAGTCACACAGTGACCTTCTGCTAATAGCTCTTGAACTCAGTTTTTTCCCGATATAATATCCTCCCCATAACACCTATCAACAAACAGCACTGTACATGCACTGCATGTGAATTCACTTACAGCCCACAAGCAACCCACATACATTCCCAGAGCTGTTTTTTTTGTTTGTGATATGCTATTATAGTATAGTCCAGAGTTCCATTCAACTTCCAATCCAAAAGATCTCCAGTACATTAGCATGACTTGAGTGCTTTTTCCAGCACCAGAATTCAATTTTGTGTGTGTTAGTATGTGCTCATGAATAAGCGTGTTCCTATTCAAATGTGCTAAGCTAGAAGGGGTTGCTGTGGTGAGTATAATGTAATCTGTAATGGAAGTGTTTTGGAATAGCACATTTATGTTAATTTGAAGGGGGCTGAACAACATGCAGAGAAATGGAGAGGAAATCAAACTGAAGAATATATGGTTAATTTTAAAGCAAACAATGGTATATCTATATAATGCAATACCTTAAATCTATACTTATTACTTCACATATCCTGTCAAACTCACAATCTGTACATTATTACTACTGAACCTCAGAAGGAGTTTACTGGATTTTTATGTTTTCTCTGAGATTTTGCCAGTTCTAAACTCACTGCTGCAGTGGTGTCCTGGGTGGTTGCCAGGTCATTGATATGTGATTGCTAGGGTATTCTGTATGTTTAGTGCATCGCTATGCAGCTGTAATGTTTGGGTTGGTAACAAGGGTGATGCCAGGTGATTGCAAGGGCATTGCTATGTGGCTGCTTAAGTACAGGAAGTATTTTAGTAAGGATGATTTTTTGGCACATGGCTATGCAGTTGCCAGAATGTTCTAGGTGGTTGCTAGATTTTTCTGTGTGGTTGCCAGGTGGTTTTGGGTCCTGTTGTTATATGATTACTAGGGTTTTATGGGTGAATGCTAAATGTTTTCTACACTGTAAAATGTGGTAACCAGTAATCGTTACCTTAAAAACCTATTTCTACCTGATTTAACTCATAAAATGAGTTTTATTGGTATATATTTAGTGTGGTATTTATTTAGTGTGATTCAGTGATAAATTCTATTTTTGAAACTTGAATTAAACCAGTCAATATGGACTGGTTTGTGACCATTTTTAGGTTTTAATATTTTTTTCTGGGTGGCTGCTTATGGCCTAATTCAAAAGAATTCACAAATCAATGTCTCTATGATATTCAGGTCTTTACAAATAGGGAATTCATTTTATTGCTATGTATAGTATAATATAGTATAGTATAAGCTTGCCTTAGCAAACACCCTGGTCCCACTTTATATGAGATGTCTTTAAAACTGCAGTCCGTAACTTTTGGCGCTCTAGCGGTTAATAAACAGAACTGGGTGCATCTTGCGGAAGAACATTGTAGCCGGAGCTACTTCTCTCTGTTTATGTCTATGAGGAATCACGCAGGTACTGGGCTACTCCGCAGCGGTACCCGTCTAAAATAATCTGCATATAAACACATATTATAGGTGCACCGTAGTGATTTAGGACAAGCAAAAACCACGGTTTGGAACATGGATTCATGGTGTACTCGATTATTATATACATTTTGTAAATTTTGAACACAAAAAAGTTACGGACTGCAGCTTTAACTACTGTGTAATTACAGCAAATATATATATCTTTTTTTTTTTTCAATTAATGCAAAAAAAATATTGTTTGGTACAATGTGTTTATTGTGTTCATGTTGTTTTGCAAAACACTTTTGCTGCTGTTGAGGTGGGATATATATATATATAGATAAGGTTAGAGACAGGTTTCATGGTATGGTTAGGTTCATGGTTGGTTATGGGGTAGGGTAACAGTATAATCATAGATGTAATTACACATATTAATTACAGATGTACATACAGGTATTTTTTTTAAATATAAGGACAAAGTAAAAACATGTATGTACACAGTAAGTACACTGTTTAAAATGATCAATTTGGTCCCACTTTATATTGGACCTGAATGACTAACCTGATATCTGGTGAAGTGGTTGGTTATCTTTAAACCAGGACAGCTGGGGAGAGGGTGTGCCCTCGACATCGCACTCCATCTGCAGCGACTCGCTCACATTCACTGTCTGATTGGTGGGGTTGTTACGGTATCGAGGTGCCTCCAGTGCTGGAACGGACATAGGAAAAGAGAGAATATGCCTTTAGTTTTGGTTAGATCTTCACTGATAAAGCACTTGTAGTGCCAGTGACATACAGACACATTATACACACACTGGACATTTTTGATATTGGACAATAACAGTTCCCCCATGAATAAAAGAGGGTGTATCAGTTTCAAAATGTACAGACAGCCTGGACAGTGGACAATGCAAAGTCAAATTTACAAAATACAGATTCAACCTCCAAAACCTAGTGGGACAATATATATATTTTAGGAATCCCGAAGATATCTTGTTTCATAAATTGTAAATATACTTCTTTCATTCAATAATAATAAGTATTTATAAAACAATGTTCCATCTGTTAAAATGGAACTATTTGGATCTATTTTAGTATTTGTGTGTCATATTTTAGTTTTTAGTAGAATATTCAGTAATTAGCTTAGCAACACTAATGCCGAACTCCATTGGAATCGTATGTAAGTATCTTTAATACATGATTAACTACTTAAAGCATTCAAGTCACTTTCAAGTTTAGGTGCTACCTTAAAAGTCAACTTTGTATGTAAGTAGCAAACAGAAAGCTGACAGCAGGAACGTCCCTGGACTTATAAAAACTAAAACTGATCATCGATTGACCTTCACCTTTGACTGGGATGTACTTGCGGTGGCAATGTTTCTCCCCACTGCGCCGGTTCTGCACCTCACACACGTAGTTTCCCTCGTCCTGCAGCTGGATGTTGGTAATCGTAAGCTCCAGCACCCAGTTGTTGCTGGTGGTCTGGAATGAAAGCTTTCCCCCCAGAGACTCTGTGTATTGGTGCAGACTTTTGCAGTCCAGCTCTGGAGGAACAGCCTGCGGGTCCAGGCGGTACCACCGCAGGTTCTCATAGGTGTTATTATCTGCATTACACTTCAGCCGTACCAGGTCCTGCTCGAGTGGATCCTCCGAGGGCTCCATCTCTATCCCGAATCCCTCTGGGATAGCTGAATAGAAAATGAACATGAATAATAAGAAAAATAATGGCACCCATCTTCTGGATTAACCACACAACATAGCATACTCGTGGCTCTTTCTGTACACTGTAATTTTTAAATCATTTTAATGGTAAATAACTGTAAAAAATGCTACACTGAAAACCTGTTAAGTGGATGCACAACAGCTTTGGCGCTATGTATTGTGATTATTGTTTAATTTTGAACAAGATTTGATTTCATGTGCAAGAAAAGCGGTCAGTTTTGCTGCCAGATCTCGATTACCACATTGTATTATTGTATTTAATATAAAACTAATGTGTAAACATGTCAAATTGATGTGTGTGTGTGTGTGTGTGTGGCAACATCTCTACTTCTGAATGAACACCTGGCTTGGTGTTTCTCATTTGTCATCTCTGATCAATTAGATTGCATACACAGTGAAAGTATGGAAGCCTGGAACCACAATGTGAAAAAAAGAAGAAGAAAAATGAAGTTGGGGGGAAAATAATGTCTTAGATCATTCCTGAGCCTAAGATTTTTTTCTCTTTCTCTCTTTCTGAATTTCTTTTTCTCTCCAAAAACTCTCTTGTTTTCTCTCTTTCTCGCTTGTTTTTCCTTCAATTTATCCTTATTGCATTTACCAAAATGTATGTTACAATAAATTGCCTGGAGATGAGTGCTGTACTTACATTTACATTTACATTTAGTCATTTTGCAGACGCTTTTATCCAAAGCGACTTACAATTTGGGGATACATAAAGCGATTCTTCTTAAAGAGGCAAACAGATACAGGAAGTGCTTGTAATACCAAGTTTCTAGACATTGTTCAAATAAGTACAAGCTAGAAAGAGAAGGAATAAATAAAGAGAGAATTTTTTTTTAAAGAAAAAGCAGAAATGAAGTCTGCTTTGTTGACAGCTGACTGACAATTCCAGAGACCCACAGAGAAAGAAAGAGGTGCAGTAGAGGATGTAGAGATAGGATGCAGGTTAGCAACATTGCGTTGCCGTCTGCGTGTGACCTTAGAGCGTTGTCGAGAGACAACCGGAATGTGTTGGAAACACATGATAGAGGTGGAAAAGAGAGGACAGAAACGGAGAGTGTGTACAGGGAAGAAAAAAATTATACTTAAGTGGCTAGGCGATTTCGTTGCTCGGTGAAGTCGCGCAGGTAAAGTCGCAGGTCTTTACACTCGTTGGTCTTAACACAAGGAGGCCTGAATGCTTCCGCTGATGCTTCTGCGTCAGCGCACAGACATAAGGTAAATACACAGTCTAAAAGACTAAAGTGAAAACAGGTGCAGCCGTCTGTCTCTTCTGTTGACTAATCGCTTGGCCCGACTAATCGCTTTATACTTCTAGGTATAAAGTACTTTCTTCCAGACCTGAATGGCTACCATGTGTTGGTCCGGACTCTAAAGAGCTAAAAATGGTTCGGTTACTGGCCTTAACATTGCTTAAGAGAGCAAGAGATTTGCAAGCCCTTTCAGTTGCCTCTTCCTGCATAGACTTTGTCCCTGAGTTGGACATTGAACCTAGACTAGACTATATTCGGAAGATGCCTTCCTCTACCACCAATCATCGGGAAATGTTACAAATCTGCCTGGAAGAGAACGTGTGTCTGTATTGTCTTAAAGCAAGGCAAGGAGGATAGTTTGAGTGTGCCAAAGACTCTTCAAGGATCGCAGCTAGAGAATTACAGAAGATTGTTGAGTCAACAGATAAAAAATCAATACCTGACTGCCACTGTTAGAAATCTTATAGTGGGCAATGGATGGATCTTCCATCAGGGCAATGATCCAAAACATCAAAATCAACAAAAAATGTGTCACTGAGCGCAACATTAAACTTCTGCCATGGCTTTTCCAGTCCCCTGACCTGAATCCAATAGAAAACTTAAGCGGAGATTCTGTATGGAGGAATGGTCTCTGGTCTCTTGTCAGGTGTTCTTCTATAACTCAGCAGGCATTATAGGAGAGACTCAGAGCTATTATCTTGGGGTGCCATTAACTGTGGCCAATTTGTATTAGAGAAAGCATTTATTTCATTTTTCCAGCTTTCCACCAATTCAATAAAAGGTTGGGTTTTTGTCAATGTTTTGAATAAAAGATCAACAGGATTAACAACCTAGATTTATTTTCACAGGCTTCTTTGTTTATATTTACAAAGGGTGTCAATAATTCAGAACACGACTGTATTAGTATTTACCTCAGATGAACTTTGATTCATATGTCTTTCTTTTTAATGCCTATGTTTTATAGGTGGTTGTCAGTATATTACAAGGGTAACAGATTTTTAGTAATTCGGTATATTACCATTATTTCAGGTCATAAAATGTTTTTTTTTTTACTTTTTCCTGTTATTTATCAATCTATAAAACTTAAAAATTTGCTTCTATATTTTTTACGGTAAAGTTCTGGCAAACACAGCTGCTTTTTACTGTAAATTACACCAACTTTTTACAGTGTATGGTTAATACTGAGGGTGTCAAGTTGCACACACACGAGGAACGAGGAGACGCTGGAGAATACGTTTAACAGGACTTTATTACCACCAAGGAACCAAGGGAGACGAACACAGGAAGACGTTCAACAGCGGACAGAGAACTAGGGACTGGGAACACTTTAAATACTACAAAGGGGATGACGAGACACACCTGGGATCAATGAACCATCATGGGGAACACCTGGGACAAATTAAACATGGGAAAGGAACACCTGGGGAGCAAGACACAGACAAAACATGGAACAGAGTCTGACAGAGGGTTAAAGTTTTTATGAAATAGAAGTGATCATCTTTTTCCCTATTGTGAAGTATAGATCCAAGTGAAATGGATTCTTGAACAAGAAAAAAATGTAGGGCAAAAAAAGGATATGCACAAACACATCATTTAAAATAAACGCTTCAAGAACCGTCAATTTTGATTTCATGGTGATTTAAGCATGAGCTATTGTGATGTTATTGAAAAGCCATACAGTTTTGTTTGGCACAAAAGTGTTGCTGAAACTCACTGGTCACGTAGAAATAGATCAATCGTTCATCTCTTCCCACTTTGTTCTCTGCTGAGCACTTGTACATAGCCGACACATTGGCGCTCTGAATAACCAAACGGCTGACAGTCTGTGGAAACAACAGAAGCAATTTCAAAGACTGACTTGTTTTCATTTGGATCACAGGCAAAAAAAAAAAAAAACATTGTTAAAGGGATAGTTCATCCAAAAATTAAATCGGTTAATTATTTACTTGTGTTGTTGTTTCAAACCTGTATAGATATTCTGTATAGAAATTAGAAAACCTTCCGTGGAACACAAAAGAAGATGTTTTGAAAAACAAGTCAGTGAGATTCAATCCCTTTTTGTGCTCAATAGAAGAAAGAGGTTCAGAATGAAATACAAGAGTAAATAAATTGTGATTTTTACTTTTTTGGTGAACTATCCCTTTAAGCTGTATACTGTATTAGTCTCTCTTTCCCCTGCCACTCCTATTCCCAGGGTCACACACAGGAAATGACCTCACAGGTGTGACAGAAAACAGGAAGAGACTGCTGTGTTAATGTGTGTTTATTCCTTCTCCATCCAGGAAGCAAGAACTGGAAGATGGATTTAAATATTTTGAAAGTGGAAATTGTAACGCATTCGCCCCCACCACCTACCTCAACCTAGATGTCAAGTTTCGGATATCTGGTGTCACATAAAACACTCAGGGTTCAGATTGCGGGCACATAAATTTGGTTCAGACATTTATGGGAAATTTTCAGGATATAAGAATAATTCAAACAGGAAGTGAACCTTTTCTTTGCCGTCCACCATCTCAGTCAAAGTTTCAATACTCTCGATAGGATTGACAGCGTGTTCAGGATCCAAACCTATCCAGTTTTGACAGATGGGAATCTTGTCTCGTTGACCCCTTCGACCCCTGTGAAAATGAAAACACAACTATGAATACCATAGGAGTAGGACAGATATGGACAAAACGTCTGTGGACAAAACATCAGTCTCATTGCATTTATAAACTCTAAGAATATTACTCCCTAAATTGTGTGTGGGAAAGAGAAAGAGGGAGAGGAGAGCGGGAATATCAGATGCAGGATGCGCACATTGACAGTTCCCACACCAGGAAGAGCTTTTAGATGCATCTGCCTTCCTGCGTGTGATGAGAGCTAAGCAAGGAATGACAAACGAAGGCCACACATGAGCATTAGCCTTTGATTCGTTTAAAAGAATTAACACAATGGGTATGTTGCAAAACCTAGTAAGCTGTCTACCTAGAAAGCATTTTAAGGCATAATACAGCACATCCCGACACAAGGCTTGGTTGAAAATGGTATTGAATCAAATCACATTCCAGGGGGCCCCCAATCTGACCAGGGCCCTTTGAATCACCCCAACCTTCCCTCCCTCTTCAGCTGTACACACGATATAAGGTAGCATTTTATCTGTCCTTTACAAACAAGGCAATCCTACAACACACTGCAGTAAGCTCAGTGGAAAAAAAAAGAAGAATCTTTCAAATTGGCAAGAGATGTCATAAATATAGTAATGTACAGTAGATATAGTAGATAGAAGAAAAATGTATATAAAGAGTTTAATCTAATTAAAAATGATTAGTTTCACCCAATTTGTGTGTGCTCCTTTGAAAAGAAGGCAATTCCAGAATGCACTGCACTGAACTTAGTCAAACATATTGGAATTTAATAAAATAAATGTATGGCCTGTTTACAAAATTTAAAAAAAAAACACCTTTTGACTTGTCTTCCTATCTTGGATAAGTTTTTTCACTAAGCTTGTTGCAGTGCATTCTGGGATTGTCTTCTCTCGCAGTGCTGTCTTAAAAATGTATCTTAAAAAACAGCATATTTATAATATCTCCTGACCTCTTCACAATCTTCTATGATTTTATTCATTCAGCTTGTAGCAATGCATTATGGGATTGTATTTTTGGTAACACTTTAGTATAAGTCCAATTCTCACTATGAATTAGTTGCTTATTAGCATGCTTATTATTAAGATATTGGCTGTTTATTAGTACTTATAAAGCACATATTCTGCATGACCATATTCTACATCCCTAATCCTACCCAATACCTAAACTTAATTATTACCTTAACTATTAATAAGCAGCAAATTAGGAGTTTGAGGCAAAAGTCAGCTAATGGTTTGCTAATAGTGAGAATTTTATCTTAAAATAAAGTGTGACCGTAGTTTTCATTAAAGATACTTACATTGCTAACTATATTATTGATAAAAGATATATTATTATGTTCACGCCAACAGATGATACATTTCTGTTCATTTTAAGTGCGCACTGCAGTTTTATCATCTTCTGCCTTAAATGTTCAAGCTCTTAAAAGAGTAGATTCTGACTGGCTGTCAATGTTTGAAAATCATTCTGCAAGTGATTCCGGTGATATCGTTCCTCCACTGTTGGGGGTAACGCATTACAAGTAGCGCGAGTTACGTAATCAGATTACTTTTTTCAAGTAACTAGTAAAGTAACGCATTACTTTTTAATTTACAAGAGAATATCTGAGTTACTTTTTCAAATAAGTAACAAAAGTTACTTTTTTTTCCAATTTATTGATTGAAAGCTCTCCTGTCCTCATGTTGAGAGAAATCAGAAGATGTTACTGTAGTTCTAAAATAAATATGATTATGCATTAATTCATCTCACTCACAAAAAAAAAAAAAACAGATTCAGTATTCCTCAAAATGAATAAAATAATGCAACTCAGAATATGATGCAAACCTGCAATAATTAAATGTTAAACAACACAAATATCCTTTATGTATTTAATCCCATTCTATTAACCAATGTCTTTGCTTCTGACCTTCGATGATCCAGTGCAAACATACTAAGCAAAAATTACTCTAGACAAACATTTGTGTGTCTTTTTTTATTGCTGAAGTGTGTTGAAATTTCTTCTTCTGCATTCTACTGTACGGACGTAAATTTACTTTCCCTTCAGCCTGAGGCTTATTTATTTCACTTTTGGTGTGAAAAGGCTTTTATATTTGCCAAAAATAGAACTTTTTTATTTTAAAAACAAACAAGCAAGCCCTGTCCAGATTTAAAAAGTAAGGCAAAAGTAACGTAATGCATTACTCTCAGCTGTGAGAGTGTAGAAGTGATGTGGAAGCAAATGGGAATTGCGGTTCACCTCCAGCTCTCTCTGGACCTGTCTGAATGATTCAGCTGCCGCCCGTAGCTCATTCCCTCCAACCCGGACTCTAGAAGCAACTCAAACCACAGAGAAGATCCAAGCAGTCCTCTTTCAGGGCCAGAGGATGCTTAAATGCCTCTGTCTCTGTGCTTCCTGTTGTTTAGACCACAGGCCTCTGTCCTTCACACTGTGCTCTCTGCAAGCCAAATACTATAAATATCCCTAACGCCCTCCTAACCTCCCTACCTTCCCCAGCTGCCTTATCTCCAGTCAACAAGGAAGAAAAGCTGCCACCGCGCCGCACGCTCAGCCCTTACTGCAGAAAAAATAAACAAGGCATCTGAAAACACGGGAAAAGACCGTCTCTGACCAGTAAGAGACTGTGGGCACGTCGCCAAAAGGGACAAAGACTATCCACTCTGAACTCAACGTGAACCGCAAGCACTGGCGTTTAACATTCAATGGTGATTTCGACAGCTTCGCCAGATCAACTAATACTCCCACTGATCCAGTGCTGACACTGGGAGCGCAATGCCTTCAGAGTGGCAATATCCTGAGACTTGAGATGTTTGGAGAACCTCTTAACCTCGCAACAATCACTTTGAAAGCGCCTGCTAAATGCATAAATGCAAATGTAAATTCTCAGCCCAACGACATGAATTCTTGACCGGCAGAGGTTTTCAACACGATTCAGAAAGCATGTCAGATGTGACGAGTCGATCCTCTGGTCTCTTACAAGGTTCTGCGGGTGCTGTTGAGACCGCAGGGGCTCCACGGCCTCCACTGCCAGGTAATGGTGGCAGGAGGGGACCCGGTGGCGGTACAGGTGAGCGTCTGTCGACTGCTCCTCCTGTAGGGGTTAGTAGGTGCTGCTGCCTCCTTCTCATGGATCTGAGGAGGAACTACACATGCAAAGCGAGAAATTTAGGACAAATATCACTATTACACTTTCGAATAAGTTTCCCCTCGTTCTGTTAACATTAGTGAATTACACACTATTCATTTAATACATTATTAAAATCAAAAGTTGGGTAACACTTTAGTATAGGGACCAATTGTCACTATTAACTAGTTGCTTATTAGCATGCATATTACGCATATTGGCTATTTATTAGTACTTATAAAGCATACATTCTGAAAAGTTCTAAACTATATTCTAAAGCAAATATTCTAAAAAATTCTAAAAAACTATATTATAAAAAGCATATATATATATATATATATATATATATATATAAAACCATATTCTACATCCCTAATCCTACCCAATACCTAAACTTAACAATTTCCTTACTAAGCAGGAGTTTATTGAGGCAAAAGTTATAGTTAACTGTTAATTAATAGTGATTGGACCTTAAAATAAAGTGTGAATATTGTGAATATTATGTAATGGACCTGAGCTAACATGAACTCACAACTAACTACTAGATCTAAATAGTTATTTTAAATTGTAATATTTCACAATATCACTGTTTTTACTGTAAGAACACTTCTTTCTAAAACCTGCAGAATCATGGAATTATGTTAATAATTCCTAATTCCAAAATTTTGACCGGTAGTGTATCTATTAAGGGAACTTTTATTCCATGTTTTTTAGCTTCCACCTGCCGTCCTTATAATAGTGCAGGAAAAGAAAACTGCACATGCAAGACGATTTTCATGCATTATTATTCATTTTCATTTATTTGATGAATTATCCCTTCTAGCATTAGTACTGCACCTACAATCTTTTTTTGTTTCCAGCTCAGATTTTTAACCACCAAGGTACACCAACCCTGATTTTTTTTATTTTTTATAATGGATTCACTTAATACAAAATTGCAGATATTTCATATAAACATCTATTACACATTGAGAGCATTACCATTGACTATGAGAGTAAAGTTGAGTCTTTTCTCCAGGGCTGCACGTGTGTTTTTCAGGATCAGTGTGTATTCTCCAGCATCCTGCTTACACACGTCTCTGATCTCCAGAGCATGCTGCTTGACCCTAAACCGACTGAACTCTGGCCGTCTGGTGATCAGTTTGCCATTATTATACCTGCACACATACAGATAATTTACAACATAATACTGTCTGGTTTAATATATGCACATTCATGACTATTTTTAAAGATGAAATGTGTCCATGACATTTTGTTTCCAAAACAGGACATTCAACATGAAGAAAAATATAGGATGGCTCTTGATTTTATCCATTAATAATTTACTGAATGGTAAAAATGTCGGTAACACTTTAGTATAGGGGGCAATTCTCACTATTAACTAGTTGCTTATTAACATGCCTGTTATTAACTTAGCTGTTTATTAGCTCTTATAAAGCACATATTCTGCATGACCATATTCTACATCCCTAACCCAATACCTAATTCTTTTTAATGCATAAAAATACATGATATATTATTTAAATTCTAAAGAAGTACACACTATGTTTAAAAATAAAATTAGGCTTTATTAAGCAAAAAAATACTTAATAGGCAAAATGTGACCTGAACATGAATTGCATGACTCCAGAGATGCAGGAGACACAAGAGATGCAGGAAACTAACTAAGGCTGACGTAGAAATGAAATCCTGGACTGTTGAGACATAATAACTGGATAGATGTACTGAATGAGTGGCCACAGATAAGCACATGAGTGTGGGAGAATGATGAATAAGACGGTTTGCATATGTTAGCAGAGATTTATTACTATAGAACGCAATCACACCAAAGCCGCTGCATTTTTGTTCACAGCCCAATACCATTGCAAATTAATTAGATAAAGGTCATTTATTCTGAATTGGACAGGTCATGTTCTTTCTTGTAGCTTGTTATAGTGATAACAGTAATTTGCAGTGTGGCCTGGTAATTACCTTTTGGCCTGGGTAGTCCCAGTGGAATTCCACACCGGTGTTGAACTCGACCAGCGCCGTGCAGTTGAGCTCCAGACCCTCCCCCTGCATGAGCTCCAAGGGCGAGTCCTCAGGAAACAGCTTGAGCTTGTAAAACTTCAGTCCTGTTGGGTGTTGCAAACATGGACTTGTCAGCACTTTTCAAGTTCTTGGAGCAATGGACGAAGTGTTTGTATCATTGCTGTCTGCACCATGATATTAGGGTGTTGTGGGTGGTTGCTATGTGGCTGCTAGATGCTCTGGGCAGTTTTTAAAGTACCGCTGTACAGAACCGCTTACTGTAATTTTGTGTACACTTGCTATTTGCAACATCACCATTTAAAATACTATATACTACCACATAACTAGCTTTTCCCTCATTTTGAAAGGTCACTAGCTACAGAACGACTATACCGCAGTCATAGATCATTGTGAGTTATGCTGGCACAGTGAGGTCTACGCAAAATAACAAGAAGTATATTAAAAATATAATTAATATAAGATACGAATATGTAAAATTATAAGAAATTGGAGACTTTTTTTTTTTTGCATTGTGCCAATATTTATGCCAATTAAGCATTTTCTTTTTAATGCATAAAAATACATGATATATTATTTAAATTCTAAAGAAGTACACACTATGTTTAAAAATAAAATTAGGCTTTATTAAGCAAAAAAATACTTAATAGGCAAAATGTGACCTGAACATGAATTGCATGACTCCAGAGATGCAGGAGACACAAGAGATGCAGGAAACTAACTAAGGCTGACGTAGAAATGAAATCCTGGACTGTTGAGACATAATAACTGGATAGATGTACTGAATGAGTGGCCACAGATAAGCACATGAGTGTGGGAGAATGATGAATAAGACGGTTTGCATATGTTAGCAGAGATTTATTACTATAGAACGCAATCACACCAAAGCCGCTGCATTTTTGTTCACAGCCCAATACCATTGCAAATTAATTAGATAAAGGTCATTTATTCTGAATTGGACAGGTCATGTTCTTTCTTGTAGCTTGTTATAGTGATAACAGTAATTTGCAGTGTGGCCTGGTAATTACCTTTTGGCCTGGGTAGTCCCAGTGGAATTCCACACCGGTGTTGAACTCGACCAGCGCCGTGCAGTTGAGCTCCAGACCCTCCCCCTGCATGAGCTCCAAGGGCGAGTCCTCAGGAAACAGCTTGAGCTTGTAAAACTTCAGTCCTGTTGGGTGTTGCAAACATGGACTTGTCAGCACTTTTCAAGTTCTTGGAGCAATGGACGAAGTGTTTGTATCATTGCTGTCTGCACCATGATATTAGGGTGTTGTGGGTGGTTGCTATGTGGCTGCTAGATGCTCTGGGCAGTTTTTAAAGTACCGCTGTACAGAACCGCTTACTGTAAGTGAGATTTTTGGGATAGACTTTGGTTTAAGGTGTCCTTTTTAAAGTGTAATTACACAAATAAATAATAAGTAATATTAATTAACAACACGTACTTACTATAGGGTTAGCGTTAAGGTTTGGGTTTGGTTTAGGGTTAGTTGCTTGTAATTATGCATTGTACTTTACTGTTATTAGTGTAGTAACAAGGACACTAAAATAAAGTGTTACTGATTTTTTTGGCAAGTGTTATCATCCTCTATGTGAAAATGGCATCTGACTATTTAAAAAAATGAGTTAATACTTTATTTTAAGGTGTCCTTGTTACACGTTACATGTACTTAATAAATTATGCATAATTACATGCAAGTTTATGATATATACATGCACATTGTTTACAAGCGTCTTTATTAGCAAACACCAATCTCACTTTTTCAGCAAATTTTGAAATATTGTGAAATCACAGGATCTGGCATTGACTGATGTATTTCAATGCAAGGTCTTCTTTGCTGTGGTCCTTTCTGTGTGTGTGTGTGTGTGTGTGTGTGTGTGTGTGTGTGTGTGTGTGATCAGTGTGATTAGTAATAACCTCATTAATCTAAATAAACCCAACTGTGACTTTGTGAGTTGCTGGTAATTTGTAAGTTTTAATGGCCCAATTAAAGCAAGTGAAGCAAACAAAGCCATTAGGTGCATTTTATTAGATATGCTAATGTAATATTTATTCAGGAGGTCAGCTGGTATGCTCTGCTGACTCTACAGCACCACGTAATTCAAGCAAAGTTTTCATTTGTCCCTCTTGAGTAAAAAGGCTATTGATTTTGGCCAGTGTTTTGTATGACCCTCACTTTAGATCGAAAAAAGAAGGACGATGGTCTCATTTAGCAGTGTAATGATAAAGCATTTCTGAGAGGTCCCTCAACAGGATGGGAGAAGATCACAGCCAACTCCAAGAAAAAAAATCTACTCAAATATCTGGACAAATCCTGTTTTCAATGTGATATAAAATGTAAAGTATACATAATAGATCATTCCACTTATTAAATCATCATATTATACTTCAATCAATTTAGCAACTTGCACAACAATCTACATGACGATTAACCAAGATAAACAGGTTTCTAGATCAAAAACCTCTGTTGGTTCTGGAACAACATTCCTATAAACCAATCACAGCAACGGGCAGGAGCGGTTGAGAATGCTGTTCCCACCCCTAACCACAACCTTAAAATCAAAAAAGGAAACTGGAATGTGATTGTTGACACTGATTGTTTGATGGATCAATGTTTGTTATTCATGTCGCTCTGCTAGTATCTGCCAAATGGTTTAAATCTAAAACATAAATGATCCTTCTTGGCAATATCACCATTTTGTAAAATAGAGTATTCCATTTACTCAATAGCATCTTGATCTATTATTTGTTATTATAGCTATAACCATTATTAATGTGAACTATTAAATTACTGTGTTAACTACTGGCAAGATTTTATAAAGGCTTCATTACCTACAACTACTTAAAACAGTATGTGTCTACTCGGCAGCATTAACCAACAGCCTGCACAGCCTTCAGGCAAGTTTTTGCTTCTTGAAGAAAGATTCTCAAGAACAGGAATGAACAGTATATGAAAAAAGTAAACAGTTTTGATATAAAGGGCAGCTATGCTATTGAATATTTAGTACTTACCTGTTGCCTGCACAATAAATATAGATGATCTGTGCTCGTTGTTGCGGACTGAGGTGGCGCAGAAGAAGCCGAAGAAAGTGGAACTGTTCTTAAAGATGTGGCTGGGAACCAACCAGCCCCTTTTATTATTCCAGGTAATTTCATTGCCTTCTAGAAGCAATGGACCCTGCTCTACCTGTTCAAACAACAACAAACATTCAGCTCAAACATCATCTGAAAGTTTTAAAATAAAGCCAATGTTACAATCTCAGACCAATATTACAATCTTTTGTATTAACAAAATGCCATATATTTAGGCAGATGATTGTGAACCAAAAATAATTTGTTATATCTTTGAAAAATAAGTTGCATGGTTTTTGAAAAAATTACGGTGTGGTCACAACAGAGAAATTTTGCAGACAACAAAGATCCACTGTCTTTATGTATGAAGCACAGCTTACACAGAAGTCACGTTCTGACCAAGTAGCTATCTGGTGGTCAGTGCAATTCATTCACATGACCAATTTAAAAATGAGCAAACACTGCATTGAAAAAATGTTTTACCCTCATGTGAAACTCACAATCACATGGATTCCTATTGAAATGACTGGATTATGCCCATGATATTTTGCAGAGCAAATGCAACTACACAAACTAACTAACTACTTTAGTCTAAGGCAGGAAACTGAGGCAGAAATCTAGAGACTGAATGAGGCACAATTCAAGTCTATTCAAGTCACACTTACTGCATCTAATTTGCTTTAAATTGAAAGTTCAGTCATCGTCTTTCCCACCTCATGTCACTCAAAACTCCCCATTGAACCAAATGTCAAAGCTGCTCCTGTCCATGCAATAAAATTCATGGTTATCATGGCTGTCAAATTCTGCTGCAATTAGATAAAGTCTAGTCATAGTCTGAAAGAATTGAAAATAATTCTGAAGATTTGAAATTATTATTATTATTGTTATTATGGAATACTGAAATATTATTTGATTTAATGGAAATATTATAGTGTTGTAAGATATCACACCTGTCTATGTGACAGCCACAGGCTCTGTTTACAAAAGAAAGAGTTGAGGGATCAGGATAAGATCTTTTTAGCCAATCAGTAAATGAACCAGTTTCATACATTTTGCATATCTGCAATTGCTGACATTGGTTTGCCTGATATGCAGAGAGGGTGTATGGTTGATGCTAACAAAATTGTGGAATTTAGCAGAAGGCTAAAATCAGTTACAGCACATTTAAAGATGTCTAAAGAAGTTTATTTTAACGAAGTATAAACAGACCCGTATCTTTCTGCCCCATTTAAACACTACAGACTTTGCCCAGTAAACCCAGCCCATGAAGTATGATTACACGGAGAACAACCAAGTTGCTAAAATTCTGGAGAAAAAAAAAACATTTATTTAAATTACTGTTAATTTCCTTTGGCTTGGAAAGCTATGTCACCTGAGTCAGCTAAGGGCTGAAGTTACACTGCATATACAGTAACTAATTATCCTGGGTTAAATCTCTACAATAATACAAAAAACAAACAAGTCACCTAATCGATTTTGCAGAAACAGAGAGATCAGGTGAGCTGCTGTTGGAGGACCTACCGAGAAGAGAGAGACTTTCAGGTCAGGATCGGAAACCAGGCATGGCACTTCAATGTGAGTTTGAGAATCCGTTATGAAGATGGTCTCCATGTCGTTTTCATTTCTCTTGATGAATGGATGCTGTGGGTCTGTTTGTTTGAAGAAAAGTGAAATTAGTTCAGTTGTCTATATTTTTCTTAAGTAAAACCCTTCAGATCATACAATGATATTAAACCTACATAAAACAGATAACACTTCCAACAGATTTACCACAAGTTTTACAAGCAGAAATTTTAAGCTTCTATTTTTAAAATGCATTTACTTGAATTCTTTATGAAAAAATGTTTGGAATTTGAGCTGTAATTTTGGTGGATCAACCTCTGGTTATGTCTTATGGACATAATTTCAGTGGGCAAGGGCGGTCCACGCTCTAACACGTGTACATTTTAAGGACAGAATCATGCATACACAAGTATGCAAATGCAAGAAAGCAGTCTCAGACAACATTGCTCTGGTGATAAACTTCCATACTCAAGAGGTGATAGAGTTTGTCAATCTAAAAAAAGATATTGACTTTAACTGGTTGAGCAAGATTGTTGCTCCATCATTATAGTATTTGACCTGAAATAGAAAAAGGACAGTAGAAAGAAACTGTTTATGCTAATGCTTGCTATAGATCCCCTTGCTGTAATGCTGAGAATGCTGCAAGCGCCTGCAATGCGTTATGAATTGCGGTCTGACACCAGCTGCGCTTGTGAAGCTAGAGGCGTTTGTGTTTACAGACTTGCGTAGAGTAGATGGTAATACTTCAAATTATACTAAATTACACTTGCCTCCTAGACCAATGAATGTGTGTGACTGAACAACAACAATCAACGGCATGTCACAGACCTTGTTGATAAAGCATTAACGTATTTAACTCAGAATATATTCAAGACTTATCATTCCATCTCAAGTTCTTTGACTGAATATACAGTTTTTAGCCAGATTTAGTCTGTGCAAATTTGTATGACACCGCTCTATCAACAGTCTCTAGAACGTTCCTTAAACCACTTAATAACAGCCTTTTGTCTTGGTCAGCATGCATATGTGTGGGACGCTAAACAAACCTCTCCAGCTTTCACTTTCAGCGGGAGGTCACAGTGCTGTTTCTAAGCCTTTCTTTGTACATCACCTGGTGATGCCTGCATCTCTAAAGCCACCATTATTCTAACCAGTGTGATTTTTCCTCATGTAGCTTAAAGCAATCAAGCTGTCGGAGTCCAAACAAAAGGATTGTATCTTGAGGTTTATGTTTCTGCCCCGCAGTGGTCTGCATGTACAGACATAATAGGAAAAATATACAACTCCTCACAGTTATGGTGCGTCACCATAAATCACCTTCAGGAGGTCAATTGCTTTTTTGAGGGTGAAGAGCCTGGGAGGCACTGGAGGGCATGACATATAGCTATAACTCCGAGAGGCAGCGGAACCTATAAGCAGTTAACTGAAGCCACATGCCGCAAAGTGCCATTCTGCTTTACGCTCGCTGCTAATTTATAGCTGTGATTTCAGCTGGCTCTGATCAACCCCCTGGTAAGATCTGTGGAAACCGTTTCGGCATCTTGTCAGGAGAAATCACCCGGCATTTCACACGAGTGAGTGAGTCAGCTGACTCTTTGATCAACTGGTCGAAAACCAATTGGTTACAAATACAGAGCTGGATTGTGTTACAAAGATAAACAATCCCCCTGTGAATATTCCTGATCCTGGTAGAGTAGACTACAATACCGCCTGTTCTGACTCAAAGACTGTAAGTAAGTTTTTTATATTTAGTTTTTATATTTTATATATTTAAAGCAAGTTTTTTGGGCAGTGTAGAGTAGGGCTTGTTGTTTGTCATTTCTCCGATCACAAATGCAGACATGGTTTTATGTTTACGCGGCGCGATGCAACGCAATGCGTAAAAAGACAGTATAAGTCATTATAATCCATAATTATGTCCCCACTGGATGCAACGAATGCCTCGTTTATAATGGGTTTTCATGTTTTTGAATCATCACTCCGACCTGACAGGGCATCATCACAATATGGTAAGGGGTGTAACATTAGCTTAGCTTTGTAAAAATCGACACGTTTCAGAAAGGGGGGGCATAGAGGAGAAACAATAATGTACAGTATGTGGAAAATAATGTGTTTTTTGAACCTTAAAACGCATAAACACATTTCATTACACCAAATACACAAAATAATGTTATTTTTAGCAGCATCATATGACCCCTTTAATAATTTATGTACCTTTAAAAGAAACTGTAACACTTTAGTTTGGGGACCAATTCTCACTATTAACTAGTTGCTTATTAGCAGGCATATTCCTAGTATATTGGTTGTTTATTAGTACTTATAAAGCACATATTAATGTCTTATACTGCAGTACCATGATGCAGTATAAGACATAATCCAGTACCTGGATTGTAGGCACTACTTTTACCTTCTGTCCTGTTTTTGTTCTTTTTGGTCACCATAACCTGCTGCTTTTGTGGTTGAACTATTTCTATAATTCAGGCTTCAATGTTGTCTGCTGGAGGGTTTAGATTACAAACACGGGCAGCTTCATAAAGTTAGTAGGCCTGGACTCAAAAAACATTTCCCAGATAAACGTACAAGTGACATGACTGAGTGTTGAATAACTCAATATCCATTTATGAAATCAAGCTTGACACAAGTATATTAAACTATAGCTAAACTCTTATCCACAATACTGAGGGGATAATATGCTCATGCCATCAAACTCAAAATGAATATTCTTCCTTATAAATGATAAGGTAGACACTGTCAGGGTAACAGTGAATGTACTTTCGCTGTAATGGTGATATCAGCAAATTTGGCATTGTGTAAATTTCTTTATTACATTCTTATCTTTAGTTTATTCCATATAAAAGCTATTTCCTAATCCCTGGCCATCTCAGGGTAAACCAAATATGTACTAAGCGTGTTCATGTATAATCTTCTCTGATCTTCTGAAGAGGGCTGATGTTTTTGAATGAGATGTTTATGATGTCTTTGTCTGTTCCCCAAAGAAAATAGAAACCTTAGACAAAGATAGCCTGGCCAAGCATTCTTTCAAGGGAGTCAAATAAAATGGGATTTGTGATTTGGTTTGCCTCAGGAAAATGCCACAAAAGGGACCAGACACTGATATTAAACTAAACTGAACTACTTTCAAAGGTTAAGTATGTATTTACACAAATAAGCTAAAGAACAAAGAAGAATTGCAGTCCATTTGTTCCAGACTTTAACATTACCTGCAGCCTCATTCTAACAACAACATTTAAGCACCATTTGAGTCCTCATAGCTTCCTACTGGTATTAATTACTTACAGTACATAATTTACATTACTTTAATGATTGAGCTGTTCTCAGTGTAATGCATGTGCTGAAATGCATATACAGTAGTGTGATTTTAAAATAAAGTACCTTTAAAGTAAAGATTTTAAAGTAAAGGACCAAATTTGTCCTTGCACTTCCACAACATTTCCTCCCTTTATAAATAACTTTAATGATATCATACAGTGCATACAGAAGTGATATTAAGTTTTGATCACACTATCTTTATCAGTATTTCATTATGGTTATGTCTAGTAACTTTAGAAGTACATATCAGCTTATTCTACTAACCCTAAACATAACCTTATGTAAGCCTACTAATAGTCTAATGAGAGTTAGTTCAAATGTAGTAACATAAAGTTACTTGTAGTCAGTAGAATGTCTCAAGTGGACCATCGAAATAAAGTGTAACCTATTCAGAAATGTAACAGCATTGATGCAAAACATGATTTTATATATTACAGCTATATATACTGTACAGGGATGCAGTGTTAGGTAAGTTACTCTAAAAAAGTAATTAATTACTAGTTACTAATTACATCTTCAACAGTGTAATTAGATTACTGAACAAATTACTCTCTCCAAAAAGTATTTAATTACTTATTACTAATTACTTTCTAAATCCTATATCAACCTCGACAAGTTAATGATACAAGGATAGACATGAAACCTTTCTTTTAATTCTTTCAATAATTAAATTAATTAATCTGGTCACACTTTAGATTAGGGTCCAATTCTCACTATTAGCTAACTATTAACTATGACTTTTGCCTCAATATACTCCTAATGACTGCTTATTAATACTTAGTAAAGTAGTTGTTAAGTTTAAGTATTGTAGGATTAAGGATTTAGAATAAGGTCTTGCAGAATAAGACATTAATATGTGCTTTTTAAGTAATAATAAACAGTCAATATCCCAGTAATATTCATGCTAATAACCAACAAATTAATAGTGAGAATTAGACACTAAAGTGTTAACAATATTCTCATTAACTTACCATAGTATTCAAAGTGAGAAGGGTACATAAAAAGCATGCAAGTCTAATTTAAGGTTAGACTTTAAATTTTGATGTTAAATCCACTATTGGATTGTATATAAATGTTCTACAGTCTATACACAGTATTAAGTTCAATTGCATAAGAAGTAACTGTAATTAAATTACAGAAAAAAACAAGAGTAATCCCTTACTTTACTTTTTCAAGGGATAAGTAATTATATTACAGTAACTACTTACTTAGTAATTAGTTACACCCAACACTGCAGGGATGTACATACATTTTTGGGTTACACAAGTTATTTTGGTCAAGCATGCGCACCTGCGCACCACTTATATGTGACCCTGGAGCACAAAACCAGTCTTAAGTCGCTGGGGGATATTTGTAGCAATAGCCAAAAAAACATTGTATGGGTCAAAATTATCGATTTTTCTTTTATGCCAAAAATCATTAGGATATTAAGTACAGATCATGTTCCATGAAGATATTTTGTACATTTCCTACTGTAAATATATCAAAACTTAATTTTGTGATTAGTAATATGCATCGCTAAGAACTTCATTTGGACAACTTTAAAGGCGATTTTCTCAGTATTTTGATTTTTTTTGCACCCTCAGATTCCAGATTTTCAAATAGTTGTATCTCGGCAAAATATTGTCCTATCCTAACAAACCATACATCAATGGAAAGCTTATTTATTCAGCATTTATTCAGAATATGTACAAATCTCAATTTCAAAACTGACCCTTATGACTGGTTTTGTGGTCCAGGGTCACATATGATACAACCTGTATATATATCACAGCTCACCAAAACTGAACAATACAACCAGAATTTATTCTAATAAAACTAACCGGTTTTAATCCTAGTAAGAAGTTAGTCTGTTTACAGTTCTCACCTCGCACAAAGACAAAAATGCTGGCTGCCGTGGTCCCATCGATGATAGCTTTGATATCCTGGTAGAAGCAGCGGTAGTATCCTGAGTCATTGGCCTGGGTGTTGGTAAGTATTAATGTCTTGCAGTAAGGTTTCCCAGGCTCCCCTTGACACTCCTTCACCCTGACTGCTCTGTGGCCCGGGGTGTCAACGGGTGACTGCTGATCCTGGCGATCAGTTAACTCCACTTTACTTAGAGACACTTCAGGCCAGCTCCAGTCCAGAATCCGCTGTCCCCTGGTGGAATGGGTCAGATAATCACATTAAAGTCAGTGCCATTCCAAATGTTTTACCAAAAACATTGCCCCATAATACGCAACCACATGGTATCTGAGAGCTTGAGGGTATAAATTCTGAGTGAAAAAGTGGTTTATACTCCAAAAGTTCACCTTATAGACAAGCCTATCTCTGATTAGATAAAGTTGGAGTTTCCTCTTCTAGGTCCCTCCTTTAGTGTAAAGTCTAAAAATTTAGAAAAGTAACTGCACACCTCTCTCAATATGACATTAAGGGTTGTAGTACAAACAGAACAGGATGGCTTGCACGCCATAATGTAATACTTAGGGTTAGAGGAGGGTGGTTGTTTAAATCCTCAATTCTATGGTTTGAGAAATAATAATAGTAATGTTTGCCTTGATTGTTTGCAAAAAAGTTTGTTTTCTCACTTGAGAAACATAATATGCATGTCTTCAAACCTGTGATCAAGGTTTTTAGATGGCAAAGGAAAAGGCAATGTCATTTAAACTGTGTTCCTCAATCAGATAATGGAAAACAGTCATTTCTGAATGCCAGCCATGAGTTTGCGTAATACTGTTCATCGATCACACTGTGCGGTGGCCCAAAATATGCTTTCCTCTCAAAGGTATATGTTTGTAACTGTTGAAAAACAATTTATTCTGGGAATTCTTGGCAAGAAATTAAGGGATTAGAGCTAAATATGTTGGATCACCTCCCTGCATGTTCATACCACATTTATTTCTAAACTTAACCATCCAATCGCTTCCAAATTCAACATTTCCCTTGTTTTTGTAATAGCTCACAGGCTTATCTGATTATTCAATCAAAAATTACCAAATCTGCGTCTTGATTGTTTATTTAACTAGACATTTTATCCCATTTGGCACCAACTAGTAATTTAACCTAGATGCAGTAGGGTAGTCAATGTTTCATGTGTCCATGGACTTTTTTTAATCAACACCAATATTTTCAGAAATAATGTACATGTAAAAAAAAAGAAAAAAAACATTTAGGTTCTGGAACTGGTCACAATCTTACCTTAACTAATTTAAATATCTCTGTGGTGTGACTAATTAATTTTTAAAAGTAAAAATCTTTCAGATTTAAAGGGGTCATATGATGTGATTTCAAGTTTTCCTTTCTCTTTGGAGTGTTACAAGCTGTTCGTGAATAGATAAGATCCCTGAAGTTGCAAAGACTAAAGTCTCAAACCAAAAGAGATATTCTTTATAAAAGTTAAGACTCGTCCACGCCCTCCTAAAATGCCTCGTTTAAACACGCCCCCACATGTCTACGTCACGGTGTGGGAAGATTTGCATAACGCCGCCCAAATGTTCACGCAAAGAAAGAAGGCGTAACTTTTATTCTCGCTGTAGTATTGTTGCTGCCGCCATGTCATGAAGACGCTGTGTTTCGTTGAGAAAGCGAAACTACTTTGTTTGGCCTTCCAAAAGAGGACACGACTAGAAATCAGTGGTTAAGTTGTATTTACAACACTGTTCCAGAACAGTTCAACCCAAATATTCAGATGTGTGTAGCGCATTTTACGGAGGACTGTTTCCTGAACCTGGAAGAGTAGCCTACAATGCCGTCACACACAAAGGCTGTTTCTATAAAGTGGGGCAGTTCCAACTTTGCAAGGACAGTCTGGCGCTTCTGACTCACAGCCTGTAAGTACGTTTTCATATTTAAAGGATTTGCCACTGATGATTCAAACGCGAGTTTTGAGCAGTGTAGAGTAGCGCTTGTTGTTTGTCGTTTCTCCGATCACAGCATGGTTTTATGTTTATGCGGCACGATATGCAACGCAACATATAATCCGTAATTGTGTCCCCACTGGATGCAACAAATGCCTCGTTTATAATGGTGTTCTTTTTAGCAACGTCATATGACCCCTTTAATATGAGCTGCATGCATAATAATTATAAAAAATAGTTTAAAGTTGTTTATGACAGAAAATGACAAAACGTTTAAGAAAGAGATTAGTATTTAAGGTCAAGTACCCATTAATAGATAATTTGATTGTACCTGCATGTAATGGTCAATGTGTCATTAGCGTTAATCACGAGCTGGTCTTTGGTGTTGTCAAGGGTGGGTGGACTCATAGAAAACCCAGTCACCAGACCTACAGGAAGAGAAGAGCATCATCATGAGCAAAATCTAAGAAACAGTCAAATTCCCTTTATGTTCCAGGCACTAATAATCACACCAGACAGATGCTTGGATGTCATTTCACCATGCGGTGGACCTCTGACATGAGGTCAAGTCAAGTGTGTTCTTTGGGTTTTAGTCCAATATAATTTATAGTGTAGTTCCATTTAAAATTTACAAAATTTCTTTATTTATATTTCTGTAAAAGCATATGGAATACATGCCATACTTCATGAGCTCAGTGACAACTCAGTGTAAGGAAAAAAATGAACAGAATTTTGTGGGCAGAGCAGGTCCATTGTCAGTAGCGAAGAATCACAGCTCATACAGAAATCACTTTCAAACCAAGCAGCTTTCTGTTGGTCAGTGCGATGAATGACCAATTTGAAACCGGTGAAACGTCTTTCACCTTTATGCAAAATTCCTAATTGTGTAGATTGCTATTGAAAAGACTGGGTTTCGTGTTTTGTAATATTTGTTTTACTGTTTTTGTACTGTCACATATTTTCTCATCTGAATATTTTTGAGGATGCATTGCCTCCCTGGACAAAATGGACCTTGTATCATCGTTTAACTGGGACTGACTTTCCCATCATTAGGTGTTTCATTAGACAACCGTCAACAGATGTGCTTTATCATTTATTACAGGACTTTTTACCTATAAGTTCCTTGAGCACATTAAAAGGTTTCACTGACAGTGGGACAGAAAGGTCAAAAGGTCATTGTGCACACGTTAATTGGTCTAGGAGTGCTGATGGTTTAAATGTCTTCTGTTGCTCTCAGAGGACACGGGTGTATGAACATGCCAAGAGGAGTTATGAGACGCACCTGGATCTAATTAACACCAAATGATGACAAGGAGATACACTGAGCATCAAAACGAGCCTCCAAATCACTACATAGCCTAAGTCACATCAACAAGTGTTACTTTATATGACAAGTTTATAGAAGGAGACTTCAGTGGAAATGAATACACAATATCCTGTCAGAAAAAAAATACAACCATTTATGCAACTGAATTCAGGGCCTGTTTACACCTGGTCATTTCATGCGTTTTCGCTGATCGGATATTTATCGGATTTGTTCAAACGTTTCCATTTACATTTGGCCACATAAATGTGTCGTCGCAAAACGGATTTAAATCCTATCTTCTATTCCAGCGCTATATTAAAATTTAACGGAGTTCATGTCAACGAAATCAAAAGATAAGCGCTGCATTTTATTAATTATCAGCTCATTTCAAGATTAAAGACCGCACTAGGAGAGTGCACGGCATCAGCACTGGAAAGATAAGTTTGTCTTACTACTTTTAATGAAGATGATTGTGTGTTGACTGTCTGTGTTACTTTGTTTCATTCGCGGCAGTTTGCGCGTCGGCTTGATGAAGAGATAGGCTACTCAGCTACTCGTCCACTGCGATGCGTGTTGCATTAGCGCAGTCATATCTGACTATAATGTCATATAGCCTATAACAGCTCTCACACGTTTATTATTTTAACATTTTGGGAGGAGTAAAATTTACATATGTGGTTTCAACAACCAGATGCATTTACACTTGTCGAGTTTCGTCTGGAATGCGGCCCAGACCACCTCCTGAAGTGGTTTGAGCGATCGGATTAATATCCGTCTCAAATGCGTTTCGGAGGGCATTTACACCTGGCCTTTTCACGATCGGATAGCTATCCGATCAGACAAAACACATGAAGTGACCAGGTGTAAACAGCCCCATAGAGTCTGAAATTTGTGTTTCTAATTTATTTTCCTAATCTGATATATTTCTGAGTATGCAGGATATTTTTTTATTTTTTACAAGGTTTTAGAAAGGCTGAATTACCATGGTTCTCTAAAACAATACTGTAACAAGATATTGATACATGCCATTGTGTATTAATTAATTTCTTTATTTGTTTTTGCACATTATTTAATGTTGTCTATATAATATATGGGGGCAATTTTTGAGTTAAATAAACCAAATGAATCAAATATTCCTTTTACCCAAAAATGTTATGATGTTCTGAAAATAAGCTAAAGCATCCCATGAAAAGCTTTATTAATCATAACCTCCTTATCTACAGCCAAACGTCTGAGGAATTCAAAGAACGTACCAAAGAAGTACCTTTAAACCTTTAAAAAATGATATTGGTATCATTGATATATTTAGTCTAGCATTGTTGTAATTATAAAAATAGATTATAAAGATGGAATTTTGTATAATAAAAATTGTGTGTATAGTATAGTAAGGCTGTATATAATATGATGAATGATTTTGTTCTGTTTCAGACGGATTGACAAAGGTATCACAGCAATGGCAGAGATTTGCATATAGTAAAAGACAGGGAGAGTGAGGCACAGTTCAAGTGGCATCTCCTCTTTTTCTTTAGACTAGCAGAGCAAAATACTTTTCATGCCTGTCCCTGTGACTCCATAGACGCCATAAGCACACGTCAATCACAAGGAATATTTCTGGACCAGTGCATTTCATGTGCACAATCCATCTGTTTCAGACGCATCCGGCCTCAAAAGCCAACATAGAATCTTGTAAATATTTGATGGCGAGTCAATAACCTGTTTACAGTTGAACATGAACATCCTGGTGGCTTTTCTACAGCAGTATTTTCAGCTCTGAAGATTTATTGTGGGATATCACCAGTCAATGGATAATGTGAAATATAAGGGCTAACATTTATTATTGTTTTTTTCTAAAATCCTGTGTGCATTACATCTGCTTTGGTCTTAACTATCAGTTTGAGTGCGATATAATCTAGCTGATTCCCAGCCCAATAGCCGGAAGGGGAAAAAACAAACATGTATTATTTTGTGAGCTTTAGTGATTTTTGTTCTGAAGAATTTGAGCAGTGGTTAAGCCAATGATTTAGGCTTAAAAATAAAGTAAATCACATCCAATAGCAGATACAGTATGAATTAAACTTACAGTCACAACCAAAAAAGGTCAATAACAGTGTATTTGTTTATTTTATTTAAATAAATACATTTATTTTATTTATAATTTTTTATTTTCTTCTCTTACATTTTAAGAATTGTGTTCCTTCTAGCACTCAGGCTCTCTGTAGAAAAGCCAGGGCTGCAGTCACTGACCCCAACTTTTCACCTTTTCACCCTTAAGGTCATTGCACACCAAAATTCCAAAAGTCCAAAATTTTCACGTTAAAAAATAAATACGACCTCACATTGTGTCAATCACGTTTACACACTGCCTCCGAAACTTTTGTCTGTCATTAAAAAAATCGGATCAGGTTCGATTTTCTGCATTTTCGCATCCATAGCAAGCATTTTGATAGGAAAGGATGCCAAATAAGGAAAAAAACACCGCATACGAAAATTTCGGACTCAGACCTTTAGTTCTCTAATAAAAATGTGATGTTTCTAATTGTACAGTACATGACCTATAGGATTTTCTAATACCGTAGTTGATGTAGAGAGAACTATTTGAAGACAGAATACTTTGCCTAGGCTGTCGTTACATTTTAGAACCAAAACACTTCTAACAAATTGCAAATTTTTCATCCAAAAAGCACAAATCTGTTTAGTAGGAACATCTATAACCTTAACAGCCCAATTGTGTTGTGTTTTCAGAACAACAGCCTTTACGAATATGACGGGAAAAACATGACAAGACTTCAGCAAACAAGTATACAGGTGCATCTCAATAAATTAGAATGTCGTGGAAAAGTTCATTTATTTCAGTAATTCAACTCAAATTGTGAAACTTGTGTATTAAATAAATTCAATGCACACAGACTGAAGTAGTTTAAGTCTTTGGTTCTTTTAATTGTGATGATTTTGGCTCACATTTAACAAAAACCCACCAATTCACTATCTCAACAAATTAGAATATGGTGACATGCCAATCAGCTAATCAACTCAAAACACCTGCAAAGGTTTCCTGAGCCTTCAAAATGGTCTCTCAGTTTGGTTCACTAGGCTACACAACTGCTGATCTGACAGTTGTCCAGAAGACAATCATTGACACCCTTCACAAGGAGGGTAAGCCACAAACATTCATTGCCAAAGAAGCTGGCTGTTCACAGAGTGCTGTATCCAAGCATGTTAACAGAAAGTTGAGTGGAAGGAAAAAGTG